AAGAGACAAATCATTTTAACAGATAAAGTTGTTATTATCTTCTTGAAGAGTTCTAAGAGCAAAAGCACACACATACACACACACACACATTTACATATATATCATGAAAACTAAATCTAATTGGTCCTTAATGGAGAAACAAGATGTAATTAAAAAAAAATAAAAATAAATGCTATTTGTTCCAATTAAAGTTTTGGTGTAAATTTTTCAGAGTAAATCATTCAATAATTGACAGTGTCTGAAATATAACAACAAAATAATATGACCCTGATACAAAAGAGAGAAAGAAGCTCTTGCATAATGTGAGTGCAAGATTGAAGCCAACCAAACATGTCTAGTTATTTTGCTGCATATTTGAATTTCAGCTGACTTATAATGATGATGATGATTACTGTTATTACTACTGTTGTTAGTTGTAGCAATTTATTTTTGCTTTATACAGGAGAGTGTTTTTTTTTTCTTCAGGTATTGTAAGATTTATTTAAAAAAAAAAATCTTTAAATGTTCATAAAATGCAGACCAATGGAGACAAGGCAAGGTACTGTTAAAAGAAATTCTTGAATACTGAGCCAATTCCATGTACAATTTTTTTTTTACAATTATGAGAGAAGACAAAAAAAATAAAAAGGGAAAAACCTACAATTTCTGATTTTCATTCAAAATACATGTCACATCTGAATATATTTTCTTTCTTTCTTGTTGAAGTCTAAGGAAAAAAATATCACTTCCCCACCCTGACTTCCACCATATATAATCCAATTAACATCATTTTCACCTAAAATATATGTAAATGCTTTTTTTTTATATATATATATATATATATATATATATATATATATATAGTCATGCTTCTAAATCTATGGTCATTATAGGATTCCTCCTTGCCTGAATGAAGTAATGGCTCCAAGAACACCAGACTCATCAAAAACTTTGTTTGAAGTGTCATCAGAGTTAGTATTGTTATTTTGATTGTTCTCTTGGACAGCCCCTGCTGAAGTTGTCGTTGTCATACCCTCAGCAGCAGCAGCAACAGTTGTTGAGGTCGCTGAGGAATCATATACAGCTGAACTATCTGATAATGAATCAGCAGCAGTACTGTCTCCTGATTGATTGTTATTGTCTGATGAGGGCGAAGATAAAATGCCATAGATTGAGAAGCCCTTTGATTTCAGAGTGTTCAAAAAAGAAGCCCCAACTGATTGAGTTTTGGCTGGGCTCTCTGTTGGTGTTGTGTCAGTGGTAGGCGTGGCACTACCAGTGCTATTTGCATTGCTATCCTTTTGAATGGAACCCTTTTTCCGAATGGTATGAGTTGGTGTTACATCACTGCTGGACCCACCGGAGCGAGTATAAATGCCAGATCCAGAAAAGGAATCATCACTGGTTGCTCCATCACCACCAGGACTCAAAGAGTTACCCTTGCGTCTTCGACCAAATTTCCAAGTCTCACTGAGTCCACGTTCATTTAGGATAGCTGCCAGGCCCAAAGACATGCTAAAGGTAGTTGTATCAGCAGTTTTTTTGGTATTTGCTTTCCCAGAGCCAGGGATGGAAGGCCTGAAAAATCAAAAATTGAATATCAGTTGCAAAATCATTAACTGGGGCAGAATTTTAATATTGAATGTTTGTACATGCAGAGAATAACTTGACAAATTAACTTGGATTAACAAACTCAGAAAAAATTTATTCAGAATGGGTTGTGTTTATTCATTTGGTTATCTAAACTAATTTCCTTTTTCATGTTTCAGTTGATGGCTTATTACTTTCTTTTATAGATTATTTAATGTCTAAACTCATTACATATGCTACACTGATTTTTTTGTTTTTATTAATATAGATAAAAACATATTCAATATATGAGCACATACACACATGTGCACTTTTTGTTCAATTTATAGAATGGTTGATGCTGCGACAATGTATCTCAATGTTATACATTTTTTATCTAGACTCATTACCCTCAGGAAAGACAAAAATGTCATAACACATTATTAAGAAAATCTTAGAAGTGTCTGATGTTTAAGCTGTTTTTGTTCAATAAATCAACTGAAGTGCATCAAAGTGGGCAATGAAGTGGCCTGATGATTTTTTACAGCATGTCATGTCATTTGTCAAGTTAAAAATTCATACACATTTTTTTTTTCTATTTTAGTTCAAAATAATTGTATTTTTATTTTTTTTTTAATTTCTTTTAACGCATGATGTTTGTGACTAATCACTTCTCTAATTTGACCCTAAATTTAGGTTTTGGTCCTTTCAAATTCATGGCATAGAAAGAGTCAAAAGAAGTGGATTAACAATTTTCCTCAAAACCTATTAGCATCTGAGATTGAGGCATATCACTAAAGACAGTGTATAAACCATTTTGGTTCAAAATCTCTATTCACCATTTTAGTAATTATACATATGCAAAGACATTGTAGCATTCTAGTGTTACACTTTTTAATATTACTTTATCAAAAATTCACAGTAAAATAAAATCAAAGAGCTTTCTCGGTATAAAGCAGACACAGATGTGTAGAAAAAAACTTAAAAGCAGAAATGCTGATCTGTAAATCTACAAAAGAATTTGTAAAATAATCACAAACATTTCATCAATTTTGTTCAGCCAACACTTCCTCTTATTTTTTTCACAGATTATTCTCTAAAATCAAAGTAGAGTTAGGTGTGGGTGGGGAATGGAGAGTAACAAACAAAACCAAAGGTGGCAGGGGCTTTTTTGGAGCCCCCTGCCACCTTTGGATATTGAAGAATTTACAATATTTAGAAAGTACAAGACTGATTATGGTGGGCATAAAGACACTACTTGATGACAAAATGTTTATTGGGAAAAGAATAGCATTCACATTTTATATTTGTATCATAAATTTTTTCTGTTGGTCTAAGATGGATGGTAGTGGGTGAACCTTAGAAAAGATTGACTGAAAATCAGCGCATTTATTTCGGGCTTAAAAAAGTGAGTAGAAAAAAAGAAACAATATTTTTTATCTAAATCTTATATGAATAAAATAAAGTGAAGAAAACATTTTTAAATAAAATTAGTAGATACTAATGAAGTAATAAATATAATGTAATAAAAGATTAAATTAGAAAACCACAATTACTTTTATTAGTTTCCATTTCTTGGTGTTTGAAAAAATTTAATTATTGAATTTATTAATTGTATTAAATTTTAAAGCAATAAATTTTTGTAACTGCCATCTGATATCATTCTTCTAGTAGAAACAGTTTGAGTATAAAAAAAATTATAAAAAAATGTTGAAAAAATACCTATATTGATATTTATGATTGTTAAAGTGCCAAATTGTTTCTGATTTATGTTGGATAATTCAAATATATATTTGCATAATTTTTGTGTTGTATAAAAAAATAAATGATTTCATGCCAAACTTACAACAAATCATAATTTGTTTAAATTATATTTGATGAAAAACAAACAAAGAATAGTCTGTGTTGTTTTGACAATAGAAATACATTATTCATCCTGGATTACAATAACCACAATAATACATTGTAATATTGCATTAAGTTTTGTAAGATAAATAAAATAAAAAGCATAATCAGAACTCCTTTTTCGTCTAGTTCACTTTTTAGCTGGTTAATTTCCCAACCTTGTTCAGGTGAAATGCCAGTTGACTTTAGGTGAGGATATAAAAACCGTTACTTTTATTAAAAGGTCATAAGAATTAGAATAGAGTCAATAGCAGGATGGATTCAAATTTGGCTCTCAGTTGACTGACAAACAAAATGCAACATTTGGCCAAATTATAATCATTTTGGCTACTGTTTCTGGAAACTAGTCAATGAATTATAGCAAACACTTCTGTTCAGTAAACATACACAATTTGTTTGCCAATTCTTATGTAGAAATTCATGGCGAATATTTAGCTTATATAGTGAAAAAGAATTTTAAAAATTTCATAACTGGCATTAGAGAATTCATAAAGATTTTCTTAGAATGAAGTTAGAATGAACTCTTAAAATTCTGTATGAATTAAGAGGAAAGAGTTACCATGCAAAATGAAATTCTTTCTTAGTTATACTTCTATCCACATCTTTGTATATCATTTAGGTATCTTTTGGCTATTAAATCTAGGCAGCTATTTTCTATGTATGAAAAACATTTTGAAAAGAAAGAAAAAACAAATTCTTAAACAGGCCTTTGCCAATATAATTTGGATCAGTACCAAATATTTTTTTCTACTTATTTCAAAGATCTTAATTAAGTTTGCTGATAAAGAGAGTTAGTGAGATTACAAACCGGGGGTTATTCAAAAAGCAAACTAACAGACAAAATATGACAAGGGTACAAAGGGTTGCAGATAAGGTAAAGGCAGATTAAGCTAAACACAACAGCAGCAAATAAATGACAAAACAGCAACAATAATAGCTAACATAAACAAAAGCAGAGTCGCTTGTAAATCAATGCAATTTTAAAGAAAAGAATAGCAAGAATTTATATGCATTAGACACATCATCATCATCATCATAGACATTGAAAAAAAAAAAAAAAAAAGAAGGATATCAAGCAGATCTTTTTTTTCATGAACAAACAAGAGCACAAGGTTCAGTGGTTATATCATTAGACCAAAGAAAACAAGGTAAAAAGAAAAACATAATAGAATTGAAAAACAGTGGCAAGACATTGCGTTTCTCTCAAACAAACCACTGTTAATGATCAAGTCCAAAGAGGAAGGAAAGGCTCATTGATGCTGCTGGGTTTTTATGTGCTTTAACAACATGCCATGATGAACAACCAATAAAGTAAGAGTAATGAGCAATTAGATCTCCATTAACTCATTTAGACTAAAATCATAATAGTCATTTGTAATAGAATCAAATCATCAGAATAACCCTATTGACCTCAAAGATTAAGGAACAAACTTTGATAAAAAAAGAAAAAAACCTTTGAAGAGTGCCATTTGATTTCAATAAGGTCAAGAAATATCTTCCTATGGTTCCAACTGACATACAGGAACAAAAATAATCTAATAACTCATTAACTTGCTTTTTATCATGAAGAGCTGACAGTGTTGATGGCCACTGAAAGTCCCTAAACATGAAATTAAGGGATCTGATGATGATGATGATCTGAAAACAGAACATGATGCTGTAATTAGAATCAACTTAGCTGTTGGCATTTGTAGTCAGTGATGAGAAGGCAATAAAAAGAGTTGGTAACAAACTAGATGTCAGCATATTACCAGAGCTTAAAGCAAATAAATGAATAAAAAATAAAATAGAAAAAAAAAGAAACAAGCTATGGCTGTAGTATGAATGAGGAGCATTCCAATTTTGGGGGAGAAGGGTGCACTGGAAACTCACACGTCAGTTTCTTGTTTGACTTGGCTATTTTCTTTCACTTTCTTAGTATCTTGTTTATTTTGCCTCATCTTGTCCCACAGCCTTTTTCTGTACAACAAAAATAATAAGCCAATCATCAAGAAAGAAAGGCTTGAATTCAAGTAGAAAGAACGATTTTAACAAAGGGAGATAACCATGTGCATTTTTTTTTTTTTTTTACTATTGCTTTTGCTGTTTAGTGTAGACATTGTGGAAAGTTTACAATTTGGGAGTGCACTTACCCAAATAAATTATAAACCCAGGAATTAAAATATTTGACTATAGATCAAATGTGATCTGTGGATCAAGATTTCCAAAATCCAACCTAGCTGAACAGACTTTCTAAAAGACAAGAAATAAAGGAGAAAAGCCATAAAATTAATATAAATTGCATAATTAGAATATTCCTCCATCTTTACAGGGTCATGTTATTGTGTCTCCTTTATTTGGCACTTAGAAGAAAAACCTAACACTTGTTGAACTGTAGTCTTGAATTTTACTACTCAGCTGTACTAATAAATACTGTTGACATTAAATAGAAGAAACTGTTTAACTATATCTTATGGAATCGGTGGTGAAGATCAGGTCGCTAGGCATTAAAATTTTCAACACAAGTGATGACAGTAGACAATGGCAAAATACAACTACAATCTAACAAAGAACAGATAAAAGGAGAAAATAATGTGGTCCAATAAAGATATGTTTTGATTCAAACATTACTACTGACCAATCATAAGTATTGCTCACTTGATAAACATCTTTTGTTTATAGATCACTTATCTTAAAAGATCCCGACAAGAGCTTCCATGACAAAAACAACTTTTTAAATTTTTTTTTATCTTTAATTCTTTCTGGATCAGAATACCATCGAGATATAAACTTGCCAGAATGTGAAAAGTAATTTCTCTAATAATCATATAAATATAAACATTACAAAGAAAGAAAGTCTTTTTCTGTTGCAAAATACACTGCAGAATTTTATGAAGAAAACGCTTTTGAGAAATGCCCAACAGGAATTTGATGAGAGAGAGAGAGTGCTTACTAACTGTATGAGAAATGGTTTCCTTGCTGAGTTTTATAAAAAAGAAAAAAAAAAGAAGAAGCAGCAGCAAAAACTGATGCTATTAACAATGAAATAAGTGTGTGTGTATGTGTGTGTGTTGAGGGAAACAAACCAACAATATGTATAAAAATAGAACCAACTTTATGAACAC